TGTGCACTCCCCTGGACAATCAGCTAGAAGATCAGCTTGGCAGTGCCACAAACAGCACGTTTCATGCAGAACCACACATGGTACACTTGCTGCCTACACGAAGGAGATAGCCAAATCCAGTCGCTTTGGTGTGTCCAACCCAGCAGATGGAGCTGGGATCTCCTTTGCCCAGGAGATGGCAAAGCCCCAGTGAGGTGCTCCCAGCCTGCCTTCCCCATGAGGCAGCCAGAGACACTCCTGCAGAGCTTTATAGATAAACATATTGTATTTACTCTGGCAGAATGTTATAGCTGCTCAAAACCTGGATGCATTGAAGGAGTTTTGCCCAGCTGCTTTCTCAAGCAGAGTCCAGATGATGCCACTCTCTTGAGTTTCTTGTTTTCTTCTTTTCTGGGAAAGGATGTGACAACATGTTGTTCCAATCAAGCTGTTTGAACCATTGGTGGTTTTTGGAAAGGACTAAGCAAACCGCATGATCCAGCCCTTTGCACTGCAGTGAGCTCAGACAGTGGTAGGGCCCTCTGCAAGCCGCATGCCTGTTCAAACAATCCCAGCGGGCGATGCAATGAGCCACGGGGCTAATGGGGTTTAGCTCCCAGCATCCCCTCACAGCTCCTGGGTAAAATCATTTTTCCTTTGTGTCTAAAATCCCAGCAATCCACTAGTGCCCAGAGCTCTTCCTGAAGACAGATGTGGAGCAAACTGCGAAATTACATTCCCATCTCAGTGCAGCTCTATCTTCCCAGTGGGCAAAGGAGCTTCCCACCCCGCCAGGGGCACGCACATGATGCAAGGAGAGGCTCTGGGGTCACGGAAGGGCTGTATCCGTATTCCCCATGCATAGCCAGGGTCAGCAAGCAGAAACCAGAGAAAATCACAGATGAAAACTGTCTGGGAGGATGCTCCTGGAGCTAGTGAGCATGGGGCTGGGGCAGCTCCAAGCTGGGGTGCTGTGTGAAGCACCCCTGATATCTGCTGGAAGGCAGCCTCCAAGCTGATTCTTTTTTTTTTTTTTTTTTGGCTATATTAAAAGTGTAGGGCTTTTCTGCAACACATTCAAAACCTGACAAAATGCTGATTAACAACCTTTACTTAAAATTATTCCTAAAAATGAGACTGCATCATGAAAATTTTTGCTGTGTCATTAATGAGCATTGTAGCTTGGTAGTCAAAGTCCCTCCGTCTCTTTTTACCCTCAGAATTAATAAAAAAAATAACAAACCACAAACAAAAAAACCCCACAAACTTTTAATCCAACTTCTAAAATTTCATAGCTGCATTAGCAAAATTGTTCCATTTAATGTTTTATTGCTTTTTCTTCATACTCCCTAGCAGACTTCCTACCATCTTAACAACAAATAGTAGCGATTCATAACACATAAAAAAGCAACAGGTAATTTAATAAAAGATGTCAAATACCAGAATCACTAAGGTTAGATGAGGATTTAAGAGATTTAATTAGAGGCACACTAGAATTTGGTGCCAAAAAGAGGCTGAAGATGGGTTGTTTTACTGTGCAGGCTCTTGGTGATCTCTGCTAGCGCCAGGCAGGTGTGTACCCAGTGGTACAAGTACTCGGCTGGAACGGAGCCGTGCTGCCACACCGCTGCTTGGGGTACACCTGAAACAAAGAAGAGCTGTAACTCCAAAAGCCAAGTCAAAACTGTCACCAGTGTTGCTCTAAGACTGAACAGAAAGAAGATCATCCCATCAGAGGAGCTTTCCCCGAGTCCCGTAATTCCACCCTGGAAAATGGTGATGCTTCGAGAAGCAGACAGCATTGTGACAGTGATGGTCAAGCACAGGAATGCTGCCTTTTAATTGTAATTTATCTTGTGGTAGGTCCCCTGTTGTACAAAGTGCTCTGCCATATTTCAATGCTAAACATTTGATAATTAAAAATGTAATGAGAAAAGTGCTCTCTTTTCCAAGCTCGGATTTGATTTAAGAGTAATATCTTTCAAAGCTCTTTTACTAAATGCTATTAAAGGTCACCACAGAATCATACCATTAATGTCAGTAGAGTCTAGGTTGTTTGCTCTGTTCTGTATTACAGCACATGGAACATATGGCCAATATCCAACATACACCCTGGGTGAACAGTGATGTTCATTTTAAAGGAATTCCTATAATTATGAGTTATATCTGTATTCACACCACCAGTCTGACACTACTCTCTCAGAATAAGTTCTATCCTGGGAAACCAACCTTTTGTAGCACACCGGCAGTTTGCCAAAGCTGTATTCTTTCTAGTTATATCTGCATCCCTAACGGGAGGAGGACTGGATGCCCTAGGCCTGCTTTGTTCTTTCCAGTGAATGAGTTTAATATATATGAGGAGAATACATGAAAAGGAACTATGACTGCATTAAGTGTTCACTGTTCATCAGTAGGCAAGGTACTGTTGATAAATATCCCCAGCTAAATTAACAAGTCTTATCCACATTTGATTTTTCACAGGCCTCTTAGTCTGACATTAGATCATCAAGGGAGAGATCTCAGCAAAAACAACCGTAATTTCTCTTGCAGAGATATTGCAAATGTAATAGCCTCTTGACTGCTCTGGCACCAAAAAAGCTCGCATTCATTAAAGGAAGGAAAGACAGTCTGAAAACCAGCTCCTGTATTATGGCCAGTGAGTATATTAAATACCTGGCAGATGGTGTTTACAAAGAGGAGGGCTCACACTGTCCTCCCACAGCTGTGTTGCTGTTTGGAGCTGGGTCAGTTCCTCAGGCAGGGCACAGAGGTCTGAAGTAGATTTCCTTGCCAAAAGAACCATCATTCTTAATATGTCTTTACATACTACTTGCCAAAACAGCCATCATTCTTAATGTGTTTATCTGGGGATTTACAATGAGATCACTTGTTCTGGTAGGTTTCAAAGCTGATCTGCAACCTTTTCCTTAAGGCAGTGAATTTTGATTCTAAATTTAACAGGTTGGCTTTTATTGACCAAAAATGACTGCAGATATTTAGTACCCTTTATCTGCTGTTTAATCTGTTGTAAAATCAAAGTTAATTTCTGAAGTAAGGACCTTAAAAGCACTCAGTTGAAGGTTGCCACTGACACTGTTTCATTGCTGAACCATGTCTGGTAATCTCACAATTAGTTTATGATATTTACCAGTGATGCAGTCCAGCAGCAGCTCTGCTTGAACTTGCACAGATGCAGAAGTTGGATCAAAGCAATAAATCTCCTGAATCAAATTATCATCAAGTTTCTGCAATGCAGAGAACAAAGAGTCAGGTAGCAGTGAAAACCTTGAGAGGGTTAGAGAATTAAAGATGACTAAGACAAGCATATAGGAAATCTGTAGGTAATGAATTATTTCACTGCCCATTCACCCTTGGCAAATTCCACTACATCTTCTTGGGGGAGGAAGAACAAAAAACAAAGCCTCAACATGTAGAAGTCTCACCAGTTTACACTGACTCCAGTTCTCAGTTGTCTCTGAGTCCTTCCAGTTTGGATGAAGAAGCAACAGCACAGCCTTAACTATGCTGTGTACCAGAGCTGGTGGTTCTACATAGCTCTTTATTTCAGCAAAGCTCTCAGCATCGAGTTTCTGGACACACTCACGCAGGTCCTGTAGCATGAACTGGTGGAATAGAATCCCTGCATGCCTCAAATCTGCCACACATTCTGCCTCTGGAATCAAAAGCAAACCTCAGCAAATCAAAAGCCCAGAAACATCTGCTACTCAAGACTTATGTTTGACTGAAAGGCTCTGCCCTCTTTATGATTAACTCTTTGTCTCCTTGCCTGATTTATTTGTATATAGCCCAAGTATCCTATCTATGAAACTTTTTAAAATGGGTATATGCTTGAGAAGGAGACAAAACTTGCCTCGGGGACAAGCAGAGGTCCTGAGGCCATGCAGGGTTCAGGCATGCAGGTAATTGTGTAACTGTGACATTCAAATGCTTCAGATCTTAGTTGGGACAGTTCTGAGGAGGATGTGCTAGATCCCTGGAGGCAACAAAGCACCTTGCTTCACGCTTTTGATTTCAGTGGGACTTGGGCACAAAATACCCTGTAAACCAGTCAAAACCCAAACATTCTGTTTAACTGTACTCTGCTAAGCATTTAGGTTTGCTCAGGAGTAGTTTACATGTACCGAAGGTTTGTATTTGCTTTCCATACTTGTTAGGAATGATACTTTAGATGCGGTTTCACTGGGATTCCTAATTTCACCCCTAAAAAACCTATCTTGGCTCTGTATGCACGATACCCAGTCCATAGGTTGGTTCTGCTTCCTCTAAAGACTTCTTCAGTATCTCAGAGCAGGCAGCTTGGGCCATCTTTAGCATTCTCTGCAGGTCTTTGTGTTCTTGAGGTGGTAATTTCTGGTGGTGTCCAATGCTGATGTCAAATACACCAAGAGCTTGTCCTGATAGGTCACGGAGAGGTACTGCAGTGTGGCATACTCCACAGACAGAAGTGTGAATGATCTCTGAACTCTCTATGCACTTAAACAGGTAATCTCTGAAATGAGAGCAAAGAGGGGAAAATGGACTAGACTTTACCATTCCAGATTCTTTTGGCAATTTATTTAGCTTATTTTAGTAAGACGCCATTCATCTCTTGTTGATAAAACAAAGGTATTACATTACTAAATCATTTATTTTCTTGAACTGAAATATGCACAGCTTTAAGTACCATTCAAGCCACACAAAAAGGAGGAAATATCATGGTGGAACACAATATTGCTTAGCCAAAGCAATTACTGAAAACCATAAGAATTTAACAAACCTTGCTTTAAAAACAATTTCCTGTTTATAACTGCATTAACAGTTGTTCTACAGAGTTTTATTAAAAGTAAAAACATCTACTGGAACAGCAAATGGCTGTTCAACCGACTTTGACGACAAGGATGATATGCCTGAAAGCCCTGTCTGTGAGGATCTTGGCAGTGGAAGGAAGCAGGTAGTTGAAGGAAGTGAGACTAAAATGGCCAGGAAAAAAGATTATTCTGAAGAGCAAAATGGTTCAGTGTAGGCCCTAATCCTGCAAACCTTTCACAGCAGAGGTAGAGCTTGTTTGGCAGCTCAGTTGGTAAGCATTAAGTCAGAAGTTAAGTTTTTGCCGGCCTGAACTCAAAGAGAGAATACTCCTCATCCTTTTCTAATTCACATGCAAACTCACCAGAAGCTTTGACAGTGAGAGGAGGGCTGCATTACCATGAGCTTTAAGGAACGTGGCTCATGCCTGATCCAGGCTGGAGTCTAGGACCAGAAGTAACTAGTTCAACTGCAGGTGCTGGAGCCTACCTTAAGAGGTTTTCTTTCCTGAGGAGAACAACAGGAGAGCTATGAATTTCTTTTTGTCCTGTTTTATCTATAGTAATCATCTTTCGCAGAGCGTAGTCCCTTATCTGCCAGAGAGAAAAGGCAGGTTTAGCTGCATCCAAGAAAGGAACAGCCATTTTGAAGCTTGGAGAGGGAGGAAATTGTTTATTTCTTAAAGGAAACTCCTATGTATGTTCAAGTGCAATGGGATGGTTCAAAGACATCTCCCAGCAGTGCTTGGTTTTATTCCCAGAGTGTGTTGCTCAAGATGCATAAAGAATGTGCCCTGGACCTCCCTCAGCCGGACTATTTAATCCACCTCAAGCTCCGCACTGAGGGACAACCACAGGCCAAGAAGAGGTTTCCCTTCTTTTTCCCATCCTCTTGCAGTCCTCTTTCTCATGTCATATTTGTGTCAGCGTGCCTTGACACGTGAAAAGCATCGAGGGGAGCAAATGACCTGGCTATCAGGCAGCTAACAAGGGAACAGCGCAGTGCCTGGAATGACCAGAAAGCTGCCAACATAAACCATCCTTATCAGAGGAAGCAGCTGAATTATGGCTACAGCAGATGTCATGCAGACTTTGTGATGACACGGGACCAGTCCTAAATATTGCATACACTTTCCATCTTCTTGACTCACTTGTATGTGAAATGACAAGCTTCCCTGCTGAACAACGGCAATATGATCTGCAGGGAGGGGGGCTGCCTTTCCAACCTAGCTCATCAGGAAGCAGCCACTTCCTGAGTTGTATTTACATCTTGGCGGCTGACATTAGTTCAGAATGAAAAGCTAACAAGGTTAGCTAGGATATTCTTTTTTTCCTATAAAATACCGTAATTTTGACACGCATAGAATTTCCACAGAAGAACGTCTCCCTTTGTGGAGGTCCCAGACAATAAAGCTTTAGCAGGGGCTTGCAGTGTTGGCTAACCTATGGATGGATGGATGGATGGATGGATGGATGGATGGATGGATGGATGGATGGATGAGGGATTTTGCTCTATTGGTTGTTATGCAGCTGTGAGCACTGATGTGGGAGAATATTTCCTTTTCCCATGGAGAAGGGGCTATACTAGCAGAGCTTTTGAATTGGTTTAAATAGGAGAATGAAAAGAATGAAGAGTGGCCTCCTTGAGAGAGGGTAACTTCCCTCTCTACCTTTGTAGCCCTTTTGTTGCACAGGCAGGCATGAGAATCTCAGACAGGCTTCAATTTGTGTGAAAAAAACACTGGGAAATCACAGGCAGCTAGCAATGCCATGTTCTCACTACAGCAGCCTTTCATCCCCTGAATATTACAGGTCTTTCCACTGCAGCAATCTGCTTACCTTGTCTTTGCCAGGCTCCACCAGGTACATAACTACAGCGTGGATGCTGGGTGCCCTGGGATACAGCCAGTCCAGAGCAGTAACAGTCATTTGTAGAACGTTTTCCAGGGTGCAGATAGAGTGGTAGGCTTTGCTGAATGCATGAGAAACTCCCTGTGAAAGCGGAATCCTCCAAATGAGCTAGACAGTTCCATTTGATTTGGGGAAAAAAAGCTGGGGAAACATTCATGCAGCAAAACGAAGCAAAATGGTCCTAACAAGTTACTTTAATCAGAACTTGTAAAGCTGAAAAGTGACTGTGAAATGTCCCTTATGAAATAATGCTGTAAAGCGCCAGAGTACTCGGGTCACAGCCAAGTCCTAAACTAGAAGAAGTTGTTTTTTAGTAGATATAGCCAAATTGACTGGGAATGTTGGCTTGCTGCGCTCCCTGCTGCCCAGATGGTGCATCCACAATGAGGCTGATTCTAAAGAGCATCCTACAGAAATGCGGATTGCTGTTGCTTATAATTATTCCACCCTGTAAAAAGTAAGGTTTCATGCCACTTTATGGAAACAAACTCAAATATGAGGTCCAGAGCTTCAGGAAATAAAAGCTACTATCTTTGGGCTTTGCATAAAAGTGCAATTAATTTACTAGTCAGGAGAATCTTAAATGAATTATTGATGAAGTGATACCTCATAATCAATTACAGATAAGGTGCTAATCCGTAAGACTGATAAAGTGTTCTGCTCACAGCACTTTCACCATATACAGTAAAAAGGGGCCCACAGTTCTTTTCTTAGTTGTACATCTTACGTTTACTCAGAACGAACATCTAAAAGTCACATGGTGCCTACACAGTTTTTGAAGAGTGGTCTAACAAACTGCTTTCTGATGGTGCCCACCTGATAGAAACTGATCTCATGGGTCAGAAAGATGGTTTTCTCACACTGGTCCCGAAGAGTGTCCAGCCCTAGAATGCCGAAGACTTTCCAGCGAGCATTGTGCAATGGCAGTACCAGGAGTGAACCTTTTCTCTCCTCCACTGGGCGGTCGTAGTTCCAGAAGTGGATATTTCCGTGGAGCTCAACTCTTGGAACATGGATTGGCTTTCCCTCATCAACAGCTGCAAAGCTGAAAAGTAAACTTATGGGTGGGTTTGTTAAGAGTAGCAGAAAACCTTTAGCAAAGCAATAAATACTGCAGCTTTGATCTCTCCCTGCTTTTTGACATCAGAGAAGGAAGGTGTTAGCTCCTTACTCTGACTACACCCAGAAATACCACATTTACCACTTGCATCCCAAAGACAGTGGTAATAAATAAGGCAGTTTTCATCCTTAGGACATTTAAAAAACATCAACTAATGAATGTAATGAAAAGGAATAGAGAAGCGAGCAGCAGTTTCATTTAATAGGTTAGAAGAAGCAATACTTAAGGGAAGAAATATGTCTAGCTTTTGGAAGTAGAGAGGCATGAAAGCTGTTTATAATGTAAACACTAGGGAAGGAAAGGCATTGTTCTCAAAAAATATCCCGTGGATGTAAACTGGTGTAAGGGAATTAATTTTTAAAGAAGAAAATGTAGGCCCAATGCAATAGACATTTGCTAAAGGATGAGATTTATTAGACTGTGAGCTAATCTCCCCAAGGAAAGGAGTGAAATCCCAAACAGATTTCTAAGTAGACTATGCAGAGTGTACGGGCATGTATATGATAATGAATCATTCCACAACAGTCCCTGCAGAGATTTCCTCTCTGCAGTGCTCTATCAACCTCTGTTTCCAGCGCACCCCAAACACTGCCTGGTAACCCTACATTCTGAATATTTTTGAGTAAAGGGAACAGTTATTTGCAGCTTTTCTTACCTTACTCCTTTCATGTCTCTGTACAGTATCTGGTTTAGAACATATGGAGCATCATCTGCAGTACATGCCACATAGTGTAGGAGAATCTGTCCCCGCTCTGGTGAGAGCTGGTTCTCTTCCAAAAGGGCAATATATGCACTGATCTTCTTGTTATCCCCATGGGCTTCTGCATCCTAGCAACCAAATGTTTCCCACTGCATTATGTACATTAGCCATTGGCCATTACACTTATTCCGTGTACTTAGCACTTGTCTCATTTCTTGCTGAGATGCTGTTCTGGGTCACTGATTTTGTGTGTCACGCACCAACTGCATGACATGTATTGCCTGTGCTGGGATCGGTCTGACCGGTATGCTCTGTTACAAGCAAAACCACTTGGTATTTTGATTGGCAAGGAAAATAGATTTCTTTTTTTCCTGTTGCTAATGGAGAGCAGTTCATATAAAAAATAATCCCTAACTATAACATGCCTAAGCAAAACTCCTATGGATTTCTTCTCCAATAGGAGATTCCTTTGGAAAAATCAGACAAACAAGTTCCAGAGTTGCTACATTTACATACCTAAATGTTGTAAGGTAAGACCAGCTACTATGAGAGAAGTTTTTCTTTGAGGAGGGCTTTAATGGTGAGGACAAACATCTAAAGTTACAGCTGCAGGTTAAAAATTAATGTGTTTCTCCACTACAGATTAACCATCTTTTTGTCCCAAACTAAGGCTGGTGTGTTTCATTTTAGAAGCTTCAAAACTAGAACTATGAATTACCAGATTTCATCTTCAAAAAGTGAGACATAAGTATCCATGAAATGCTTTCGGTATTGGCAGACCATGGACAAGAATTCTTGTATTGCAGGGCTGTGACTCTTTCCATGCATAACCATGGGCTCTCCTGAACATCAGCTAAGTGCAGGGAAGCACAAGGAACCCAGCCTCAGACCAGCTTCCCATGCTACCTGCACGTTCCACTCAGATGCACCAGGGTTTGAAATCAGGGTCACAGTCCCAACACAACTCTTGTGCTCCCTGGGATGCATACCTGGGAGAGGGCCTTAAACACCGCTTTGTAAAGCTGTTCCATGCTTGCTCCACTGGTCTCAGCTGCTTGCTGGATACTGTGCAGCCATTTCCTCCTGGCTAAGCTTTGCAGGCACTCCATGTGACTTCGTTCCACACTTGTGGTCAGAAATTCCACCAAATCATCAATAGTTTTATCCTCATCGTCAGGGAACTCAGAAGCAACTAACTCAAGGAAAGCCTGGAATGCCTTTGGGGATAGCTTCCCCACTCTGCTGAGCTGTGGGTAACGGCAGCAAAGGTGTTTCTTTGCTAGTAGGAGAAACAGAAAACAAGACAGGGACATTCTATTTGAATAAAAAACCCCCTGCTTTTCTTGTGCAAAATATGAATCAAGCCCTAAACTGACTTTGGGTGGAGTGCTCCAGTCCATTATTCTGGGTTTCTTCTAGCTGTCTCCTGAATTTGTCATCATGACAGGTAATCTCCAGCTTCCAGACTGGATGTACCTTTTCCTCTAGGTGCCTATTTTCTCACCTGATGAGAAAGAAACCTGTACAGCATTGCTCCTGTGCTCCTTTCATACCTCTGCAACATACCTGAACAATAAAGGCCAATGGAAAATAGGAAAGCTGCTTGGAGTTAGCAAAAATCAGAGGTATCTCCACATCAGAACAAAATTTTGTGGACACTTTGCAGGGCTGGTAGGACTGGGCTGCAGGTAGGCATTCTGCGTACAGTAATAGTAGTTGGGTCCTTACAGAAAAACTATTCATCAATCCCATTAAAAATGTGAAGGCCAGTGTCTACAGATTTCGCAGATCACTCACGTTCCTGGATTTTCCATGATGTACCATACTTTGCAGACATTACATTTCCCTTTTGAGGCTTTCCAAAGTAACTATCATTTTTAATTATCCTTCTTTAGGTGCCTTTAATGAATTACTGAAATAACGTTTGTATTGTGCTAAATCTCATTAAATGAAGAGCAAAGAAAACAAAAGCTCTATTGACGTCGCACAGAGGTTGGGGCAACAGTGCTTTGGAATCACCTGTCCTGCACCAAGTGATGTAGATGTGGAGCAAAAGGGGCAAGGGAGCTTTGATGAGAAAAAAAAGAGTTTAGAAGAGTAAATGAGTATGCAAAACACCTAAACCAGTGATGTGATGCCAGTTGGCTCTCAGAGGAGTGAAGGAGGAAAGATCTGCATGGGGGCTGCTCCTTCCCATTTTGCACAAGGCCAGAGAGCAGAGCTGTGCCCCAGTCCCCTTTTTCATGTCCTAGACATTGCAGCTAAACTGACCCAAATACAGGCAAATAAGCTGCAGTAGAAAGGTCTGGAAGAGTTTCCTTTTGCGTGGAGGAAGGAGGAATGAGGAATGCCACAAGGATCAGATTATGATGCCCAAGAATCACTGTCTTGTATCTACTCACTCTCCTTCGCAAACTTCCAATGTACCCAGAGGTCTGGAAGACAAGTTAAGACTCAGAGCTGTGATCCGAACAGACTGAGCATGAAAATGTGAATGCACCCCATCGGTTTCTATTCAGGGGTTACTTAAATCAGCAGGCAGTCCGACGGGGCTGTTCCAAGAGCCGCTGCGGCTGGTCCCACGCCCCAGCTCTGGGCTCACGGGGGTGCTCTTGCACAGCCTGTGGAAGTTGGAGGCAGCTCCCTGGCTTTGGAAAGCCGGGATTCCTCGGGAGCTCTGCCCAAGCTGTGCTGGCCTGATCATGCTCCTGGCAGGGCCTCTCCTGAGCACTGCCATGACTAACACTTTCATCATTTTTGATGCATCCTGATTTCAAATCCTGTTGGAACCGAAGAAGTAAAGGAAAGGGAGTGATTCGTCAAGCCACTACTGACTAGTGACCTGAACAAGCAAAGATATATAGGGCGAAGTGTGAGACTTTGCTGTTAAGCAGGGAGTATTTTGTGATCGATACATGCAGTGGGCTCTAAGGACAGTGTAATAGAAAATGCTTTGATTAATGATGCACAGGCAGGGAGCTGCCCTGATTGCATCCCAGTGCACCCAAGACACGGATGTTTATGGGAGCTAAAAGCCTCCTCCTTCCCCCACAGAAGTCAGGGGGCATTTTATCACCGATTTCAGCTATGGAAGCAGCAAGTACTAACTGGCCCCAATCATGGTGGAGCTGACTGCTAATGCTGTCTTATCCTGCCCATCATCTAAAGATCATTCAGTATTTTTTCATTTAATTTCTGATTTTCTGACAGAACTAGGATGGAGAGTTTTTTGATGGTATAAAAATGTTTGGATTTTCATCTCCACTTTCTCATCTCTTTGAAGAAAGAGATGAATAAAGACATACACATGAAGTTAAACATGGCTTGATCAGTTCCTTCATTACTGAGCCACAGCATAAAGAATTATTTTCCCCATTATATCTGTAATGTTACACTTTTCACTTACAAGGAAAATAAAATAATTCTACCCACTTTTCACCCTGCGTTTTCATCCAGGAGTGCAATGTCTGTGAGCCCTTCCCCCAAACCTGCTCGTTCCATGATGTCTTTGAGAGATTATGTTGAAGCTGCTAGATACAGTTTTATATTGCTTGTAGGTGGTATTGATTTTGCTATGCTATCTTTCTATTTATTTGTCCTTTAGTTTATGAGCCCTTCATGGAAGGGCCTATGTTCTCCCATATTTCTGAAGTGTGTTCTGGCATGCTTTGAATACAAGAGAGCTGTAAATTGCCAGTTTCTTCCATGGCTGTGCAGCCTAGAGACTATTAACTGCAGCATGCCGGTGTGCTCCCCACCCCTCCAGTGCCTCAAGTGAGCTAAAGGATAAAGAGATTTTGGTGGTTGCCAAAATGAGCGATTTTTAGTCGTGTGCAGCAGAACAAGCAACATGAAAATGAGCACGCAGATGAATAAAGCAGTCCTCTCCACCCAAGCACGCATGCAGACATGTTCTTAGTCACCAGTATGGTATCTGAGAACACCTAATGCCCACGTGTTGGTATGTGTGAGGCCACCAGACAGGGCCAGGTGAACCTGCAGCACTTCCGTCTGACTATTCTGTCAAGGACCAAATTTGCGAAGTTTATTTGGAGAAATGAACAGAGAAGTGAGACTTGAACTTACTACCTAATTCATGAGAGCCGTGCAACAGTCGGGATGGCTAAAGGCTATCTGAGACCCGTCAGGAAAACTGCTGTTATCTCCTGTGAGATAGAGTCCTGCAGACAGCACGGTAAAATGCATCTATTAAAAATAGCTGGATAACACTGATAGGTAAGACTAAAAGTGTAAACATGTCCTCAGGCTTTACATGTGTTTTTCACTGCCATATCACAAGTGTACATTGCATGTTACAGCTGAAATAATTTTTCAACACATCACAATGTCATGAAAGCATTGGGCTACCTTGCCACAGGAGGAGGGGATGGAGCTACGCGTTAACAAGTCGGTCTGGAGAACTGTTACTTTTCATTTTATACATCACACCATGTATGCTTATGGCTGCTTGCAAAACCAAAAAATGACCAGTGCTTGCCAACAACTTCACTGGCACTGTTGTTGAATGTTTTAAGGCCTTGTGTGTTGACATTGTTCTCTCAGAGCAGAGCTGTTTCCTTACCTTTCATCAAGGCCTCTTTTTCCATCCCTTCATTGAATGAGCTTAGAATAGCATCCACCTCTTCCAGGTCCAGAAACCCAGATGCGTTCTTGTCCCACTTTGTGAAAAGAGCCTCCAGAAGCAGTTTCCGTTGGGCCAAGTGAGAGATGCGGTGACCCTGCAACAGAGAAACAGCCAGTCTTTGAGAATTCCTGGACACTGATGCTCAGCGTCTACACAAATATGGAAAATACAGTATTTCCTGTGGGTCAGGCCAAATTGTAAGTACACAGCTCAGACCTGGACATAAATTAAACCTGGAGGATATTTGGAAACACTAACCACAGCTGACAGTTCGGTTTTCCCTGGCAGAACTGGCACTCAGAGGGTTATTGCCCAGGCAACAAATGAGGCGTGTGCTGGATCTAAGGTGAGATCAACCCAGGTAAGAGCAAGTTTCCCAGAATACAAATGTCTTCCCAGCAAAAACTAACTGCAACCTTGTTAGTAACACCCAAAGATGTGACAGTTTGTATCTCCGTACATTGTTATTTTGCTGGTGCTGTCCTGAAGCGTGTGGGCTCCAAGCAAATGCACGTCCAATTTGTCCTTTAAACCCAGTCTTTGCACAGCATACAGTGATAAATGGCTGGAGTGGAAATGTCTCAAAGGCCAAAATACTGGCAGTGTGTTTTGTGTTCAGTGTGAGGACAGTAGAGCCGTCAGATCCAATATCTCATCCAAATTAGGTCAGCAGCACAGAGGGAAACTAGAAAGAGGTCTGAGGAAAATGCAGCTAGAGAGGCTACTGTGGACAGACCCACCATGAAATATATTTGTACTCTTAAGGGATTCGGGGCACCTCGATGCTGTGCATGAGGATATTGCTGAAGGGGAATATATTTTTTCACCACATGGCCAGAGCACCTTGTAACTTAAACATGAAGAAGCATGTGCACATTGACATACAGCCATGCACTAGGCATAACCAAACACACTTGCTTTAAAATCCTCCCCAAAGCATCCACAGCCTCATATGTACATGCCAGTGCAGTAGGTCAGAGATCAAGTCTTGGCTATTATAAAGGTGAATAAGCAGAATGGAATGTTTTGAGCTCTTTCACAATTAACGATCAACCTCCTGTCTCGCTGAGTCCGGCTCTAGAACAGACAACTTCTTATAGGATGGGTCTGTCATCACTTGTAGAGCTAGGGAGGGAGGATCCATGTGAAAACAAAGGGGTAAAAGGTCTCTTGAAATAGAGGATGCAAGGCTGCAAGTGAATAGCTCTGCCAGCATGAGATTAAAGCTGACTCCGTCAGTGCCTGTAGGCATTTGCTTGGTTTTTGTTTGAACATGGGATCAACAGAACTTACAATATTTACTTTTTCTAGTTGTTCCATTTTTTCCTCTTCTGTCTGTTTGTATTCTTCTTTGATAAATGCAATAAGCCTCTCCACAGTAGGCAGGGAAGTGTCTTCACCAACAAATGTCTCCATGAGCTGTACAAACTGTGGCAGGTTGAGGCAGCTTTCATCAAAGGCACTCCTAGTATGAGAAGCCCAAAGGTTCTGAATGTCTGCCATGATGGGATGTAAGTCTGAAAGGCAGAAAGCACAGTCCACATGGCAGATATCAACACAGTCCTGAATCCTGCACTTCCTATACTGTGAAATTATGTCTAAATGACTCCATGCCGACTAAAGGTCTTAATCTGCTTATACTTTTCTAATGGTATCTCTTCAGATTTATGCTCCGGTCTAGCATGGATGCTATCATACAACCAGGTCAAATCCCTGCATACGGGTGAGCTGAAATTACTGTTACACAGCAAGTGACCTTCTGAGACAAAGAAGACACTGTTCCTACCTTGAAGTCAGCTTCAGGAATTAGTGTTTGGTTTTTTGCCAAAACTTTCAGCTCACAGCAGTACTGGCATGTCTGCAGACACTGCCAGCCACTATGTGCCCATGCAAACACAAAATTTTGTGACCAAATACCTGGAAATCTGGTGTTCTCACACATCCAGTCCTCTGGAATTCTCTCTTCAGAGCTTCTATACCTGCAGCTTAGGTCACAAGTCAGAAGGTCACCTGGTAAAGGATAAAATATACCTTGTAATGATATGAGTTTAAAAATGACACAAGATACAGCTTTTCTAAAAGCCTTTAAATACATAGATCCAAGCTATAGTTTCTGAAGTGGATGAAAAGGGTTGACATGAGCAGTCACCTGACCAGGGTACCTCCTGGCTAGTTTCAGCTGGAGAATTCTGTCTGTCTGAGTGTGCTGGATCCGCAATTTTAAAAAGAAATCTGTGAACCAGCGCTTACTAGTCTGAGCATCCTGCTGATTAATATGTAAAATTTACCTCTGTGTCTCTGGAGTTACCCTTGTTATCAGTAGCTATTTATTTTTACTGTCTGGAAATACTGCTTCCTGAAGTTCACCTGGTGAATGTTACATTTCTTAAGCCCAGCTACAAATACCCATATTAGCAAGAGTAATAAGATAGATTCTTTTCAAAGACAGGTTCAAAATGATACTCAGGCTTGTTGCTTCCATTCACCTTTCTCTCAAAGAGCGTCATACCCCCAAACCATCATTTCTGTGAGAAACTGAGAGATTCTGTGGGATTCTGTGAAGGTGAGAATCTGCTCTGAAGATGGAAGTACTACATGCCCCAAACAACGCTGGATGCGTGTCCAGGGACCAGCTGGATGACAGGTTAGTGCTGTGTACTGGAAGTTAACCACAGAAAGCTGTAGGTACCGGCGGGCTGTACCATCAGCTCTACAGTCTGTCACTAGACTGCTCTGGCATGTAGACCCAGTTCTTGCAGCATTTTAAACTGTGAGATACAAGGGTGTACTCACAGAGCACTAGCGAGGGAATTGGTCCTTCTACTATGTTTAAGAAAGTACCTCTTATGAAACACACAGTTGCCCAACCACAGCCTTCCTAGAACAAGGATCTTTGTACACAATTAGGAAGTATGATATTCCTTTGGAATCACGGTGAGAGATTAAAATAAATGATCTCATAATATGATCTCATATCTCCCTATGGGCAATCAGTCTGAAAAATAACTAAAAGTCATTTCTATATTTAACGTGCTTAGGCTTCTGTCTTGCTATACTAATATTGCAGAGTGAAACAGAACATAAAGTTTCTCCTTATTATAAAAATGCTGCTGCTTCAGAGAGTCCCTACTTGAATTAAAGTGTCTGCTCGGTGCCTTGAATACAGATCACCAGCAAAGTCACTCACCTGCTGTCCTGTGAGAGGAGCACCCTCTGAAACCTTGCTGAGAAGATATCAAAGCTTATGGTCTTGTGTATTCAGTAATCACTCATATGCTTTCAATAGTTTTGAACTGGATTAAAAACATGCCTAGGGTTAAACCAGTCCAAATGCGTATGTTGGAAAAGATTAAAGTCTGCCAGAAGAAAGGAGAGTGCTTTACCTTTACCCTGGTCTTGCAGAAGGTCCTCATCCTGCAGTCTTGTCTCTGAGCTTGTCTGTTGGCCAAACGGGCTGCCCTGCTGCCTAGAAAAACTCTCTGTTCTTGCAGGAGTTTCTTTCACCACCTCTGCAAGTGGAGCATCCTGCTCTGAAGCAGTGACATCCATGTCTGCCACAGCTCTGGCTTCTGAGGTCACAGTTATAGCTTCAGGTGTTGGTCCTGAAATTGTGTTGGTTGCCTCTGCAGTCCAGTTGTCCCCCTCCTGACTAACTTGCCCTTCTGATCCAGATTCTTTGTCCCAGACACTATAATCTTCTTCCCTATCTGTTTCTGTGTCAGGCTCTCTACCCAGGCTAAATTGCTCTTCCTCCACCTGTTTTTCAGATCTAGGTTCTCCATCTCTGCTGAGACTGTACCCAGTAGGGGCTGATCCTGGGAAAGCTTCCTCCTGTCTGTCTGCACTTGCAGACTCAGTTTGCCTCTCCATTTTGATGGCTTCACGGAAACTGGATTTTTCACTATCTATTGTACTTCCATCCAAATCACTAGCTGCAAAATCAGTGCTTTTCACTGCTGATGCGACGTCCTCACCTTCCTTTCTCACTTCAGCATCACTTGATTCTGCTGCTTGGTTTTCTTCCTTAGAAGTTCCTCCAGCCTCAGCTTCACTCATGCCCATTTGTACAAAAAGACCTTCTCTGACACTAGTTTTCACTCTAGATGTGCCTTGTTTATTATCATCTACCGGTCCACATGCTAAAATTTCTCCCTCAGAAATTCCTGTTTGAGACAAAACTAACTTTTCCCTGAGTTCCTCACACACTTCCTGGTCATCAAGGCCTCCCCATAAATCCATAAGCTCAATCTCTTGCAGCTCAATTATTGGCCCTAAAATAGAAAAAAAATACTGATAAGTTAACAGTTTGCATTCATTTTATGTACTTTGGTATTGCATAAGAAAATTTTAAAAGAAAATAGGTGTTCCCAAGCAAACATAAACTATCAAAAGGAACCTTCTGTGCATCTCAGAAACACAAAACTTCAGAATAATGCCTTTGCCTGCAGAGAACTGCATTTGTTATTGTGTATTACACCATATTTCTTTTGAAATAAACGTTTCGTATTTCTTCATACTAAGAAGGAAAGCTGTAATTTGACTTGCATTTGATCTTAGCAATTAATTAATGTCCAATATCTTAAAAATACTTTACTTTCATGTAGATGATTCTCTGTGTTTTTTTCTTTATCTTTCCAACTTCCTGCAGAAATTTTAATGTAAACACAAATTTAACTCATAATATTGCCCAGTAAAGGAAGAACAATGTTTCTGGGGAAAAGTAGTCTTTCTTTAATCCTATTTTTCCAAACAGTACTTCAGAATTTTGTAGTAAGGAAAAGTTTTGGATGCTGAAGTATTTCTGAACATTGCACCACGGTTTGCAAAACATGTTTGCAAATTATGGTGTATAGGTCACAGCATTCATTTAGGTCCTTTTTTTAGGCTCTGTCCATTTCTGGTAACAATTATAAAATATATATGAACTATATAACATCATGTGGCCTCCTAGTGTTTAAACCACAATTGAAACATCCCATATACTTACACTGTCTTGGGTTACAGAATCCCCTCTTGGCAATCACAGGGCTTCTTTCATAGAAGTCTACCAGTAGGGCAAGTATTTTTTGTCTGTCTAAGAGACCAACCTCGACAGAAAGATTACAATTATTGTTATTTTCCTGTGGGTCTTAGAACTTACATCAACGTTTTCAGCACTACAAAGGCACCATTAGCTAAGAATTATCTGTGACTGAAAATGATCTATTACCAGAACATCAGTACGAATTTCAAAGAAGTTAATTTGTTTCATTGAGGCAAAAATTTCTTCTCAGCCCTTAGCTGGAACTCCTCACACATATCTCTTTGCAGGCACATCCTCTTGCTTTATTCTTGGCAAATTAGAGTTGGATGATTGTAACCACTTTTGCCAAGGGAGTTCTTCATGTAAAGATCAAAGCTTCAACATTTCACACTTTCAGGACAGATATTGAATGCCTGACAGTACTATGACAGAATTTTCACCTATTATGGCCTGTGCTATACAATGTTAGTGACTGCACATTGTAGTTTGGTTTTTTGCCCCATCATTTCCTTTGAAGCACGATGTATTGGCAACTGCCTGGGAAAATAACTAGTCCAAAAATCTGAGCTATTATGACAACCTCCCTAATTTCCTTTAAAAATTCATACACATCTGACCACAGTGGGGAGAGAGGTATCCGTAGTTCTAGCACAGAGGAACATACAGAGTTTATTACATCCTTGTTGCTCAGGGTGAGTATATATAGACAATAAAACCAGGAAAAGACAATTTAATGGGTCATTTCAATCAGGAAATTTTGAGTTTAAAAAGTAAAATGAATCTAAATGATTGCAAGTTTTCCATTTTATGATTAATTCCTGTTGTCGTTATTTAAATCCTGCCACCTTTGTAATCTCCCTCGCTTTAGTGAAACACAGTAGTTAATTAGAGAACAGATTTACTTAAATTCATTATTTGTAGGAAGTAGCTTTCCAACTGAATTATTGATTTCCTTTTCACATTCTGCTCTTAGAGTAAAGACTACAAAATGTGAGATTCACCAAGCTTTTAATTCTCTGTGACCTTTCCTGCCCTTAGTTTGAAGAAGTTTGCTGCTCTTTTCTGGAAATGAGCTCAAGATGATCACATTGTTTATATTCTAAAAGCGTAATTAATGGCATCAATGTTTAGGAACAGAGGATCTGAAAACAATAGAGATACTCATCACTTAGTGGAGAAGTGCCTCCCAAGGAAGCTAATACTGAAAATTAAGTGAATAAATCACATTTTCCGATACTGCAACTCCTTTCCTCTAAACAGAATTGAAAGCTTTTGCACATCCTGAGGAAAGGATCAGAGCTGAAATGTAACCTATCATCCAGTCCAGTTTTCACACTCCTGGAACTTAATTCCTGCTGGTAAAAAAATGCTGGAAATGATAGGTGAATTTCAGCCATGTGTGGGTTGGGAACAACAAATGTCATCACATAGTCTGTCCCTAAACATACAAGATGTCGGCCCCGATTCCCAGTATCTTCATCTTCCTGACATTAATATCCAAATATCCTGCGTGCTCCCATGCAAACATTTCTTTATACTCTGTTTTTCAGTTGAATATATCAGATCGGATTCCGCATCCATTTAGTAGATACACAAACACAGCATGTTTTTCTGAAGATGTTACCAGATCACAGCGTCATATATGGATTCTCCATTCAGTATTTACATTGCACACACTTAATTTTCCCTTTAAATTTCCTCAATTGTTACTTGTCACAATAGTCTGGTTGCCTTGAAGCTGTCAGCACTAATGCAAAGTTTTGTTTTATTAAAAAGGCAAATGAATGAATGAAGTAGTATTAAAAAGAAAATAAAAATGTTGCTTCAGAATTCAGATACTTTTTTTTTAATGTTAAAGTAATATATTTGAAGGATTTAGATAACCGATTCTAGAAGCGTTTTTGTTGTGGGGCTTTGTGATTTGATTTTTAGATGTTGTTAGACACAGTAAATACCTTTTCAGAAATGACTAAGGATGAAGCAGGGGTATATTGCCCACCTTGGTTTAACATTTACAGTTTATACAGATTTGCCATTCTACTAGAGGGCTCTGTTATTTCAGGAAACTTTTCCTTATAACTTACCTTGGGAGGAACACGTCACGGTAAAGCTATCTATAGAAGAGCGAAGTATAACAACGGGAAAAACAGTTCCAAGGTCCTATACCCAGTTACACTATCTTTCCAGGTTCCTAAATTTACTGGCAAAGGTCCTATTTCTTTGTACTTCATGTGTGACAGGGGGGCCTGATGAAAGATTCCTGACCATCGGCCCTTCGCACGGAGTCTTGGCGGCAGGACAGGTACAGCATCCACTATAAATAACAGCACACCATCTGTGTTTGTGCAACCGCCCAAAACTTGTCTCCACTTTTAACGAGTGCCAGCTTTAGTGGATAGAGAGTTGAAACATGTTGACCTAATTTTCTTGTCACCTAGATATTGGCAGGTGATGATTCTCAGTTGTTTTCGGCAACGTTCCATGATCTGTGAGTAATTCCTTTAGCAACACAGACTAAACCAGACTTGCCGTTTAATCAGTGATAGGTCAGTGTTTAACCGCTTGATTGTTTTTCTGGAAATGTGATGTGTGTATCTTGAACTCCACAATACCCTTGTTAGTGAGCAAGATGGGGAGAGCAGACACTCATGAAAGGTCATGAGAAAGCAGACTTTGTTGTTGCTGTGCTGCAAGAAAGGTAAGCAGAAGTGTCTTGAACTTCAGTGGTTGGAAAACTAATCCCTGACTAAATTCAGTTGCATTTAAAGATCCCGGGTTAAAAACAACCCTGAAAACTAATGCAGATTCTGTTATAATGTGTAAAAGAAGCTATTACTTGTTATGCATGAGCACAGAGAGACAACAAGCTTAAAATTCACAGAGCTCTTGCCTCTTCGGGCATTAGTGCAACGATTCAACGGTGTTCTGGCATTGTCTTGGACAGTTTCTGCTTCTGTACAGTCCAGGCTGCCCTTGCTGAGCTGCCATCCTTCTGGATGCACGCATTTGAAATCATAATAATGATCATGCGGATACCTTCTAATCTGACTGTAATTTAAACACTGCTTTCTCAGCTTCCTGGCCCTAATTGCGACTCACTGAGGCAGGCAGCCACATTCACCATGCAGACTGGAATAACTGCCTGCTACCAAACAAATGTAAATGAGGAACTGAAACAACTGCTTTGCTGTGCTTTGCAGAATGAGTACTACAGGTAATGGATCACATTCAAGTGGTAGAAGTCCTTGGGTTAGTTTGCATCTTTTATCTTCTCTCTGGGTAGAGTAGGACGGGATTTATTAGAGCTATACAAAAGAAACCAGGTTTAAAAGAACTGCATGGTCCACGCTACAGTTTAGTAACTCAATTTGCAGAGCAAGGCTACCTCAGAGGCTGGAAACAGCAACCATGGTTGTGCTCTAATCATTTTTTTTCTGGGCAGTGATGGTATCTGTGCTGCTAGCTGCTCGCTCGTGTTGTGTTGTGCTAGTATTTTTGGCTCTTTGCCTCTGAGATTCCACTGGGATTAGTAGCATGGAGATGGTGATTACTGTCACAGAAATAATAGGAAGAAAGTCACATTAAAACATGCAAGGGAAAGAAGGGATCCTTTCAGAACGCGTGGCAAAGCTAGGACTTGGCTTCATATATTACTCTCCTCAGAAGGATCTATCATAGCTCTCCTTGACAGAGCAACAGGAAAATGAAATGTCTTCTAGCTGAGAAGTAGACACATTTCTTTCCTCATCCCTGAAACAGCAGCTTGCCTCCTGTTCTCTGAAACACACCATTGGTGTTGAAACGTGCTCTGTAATTCCATTCTCTTAGAAGTAATGACATTATTAGCATGACATTGTAGAGCACAGTTCATTCTGGGGAGGCATGCTGTAAACATCACGAGAGGAGTGCTGGGTGGAATATATAATTTATGTAGGGGAGAAAACTGGAAGATTATGGCAACTGTTTGCTGTGTAGTAGCCAGCAACTGGCTAACTGAGGCTACTCATAACAAGTACATACTATTTGGATGAAGCCCAGGTTTTTAGCAATAGCTTATGCCATTGATTCTTCAGATCCTACCTACTATTTCCTGGTTTTCTAATACATCTAACTTTTTTTCTTTTTTTTTTTTTTTTTTAAATGGTGATGCAATTCTACTCAGAGGATGATAGATAGAGTTTAGAGCTGCTGAAAACCAAATTATGGCTTTTGAGTTCCAATTCCAGCTCTGTAACTGACTTAATTTCCCATCCATAATCTGTGGCTGAAGTTCACAGTAGTTTTCTCAGAGAGGTTGTAAAGATAGATTATTTTGCATTTTAAATTTAAAGGATGAGATTTATTGATAGAAGCCCTAAAGGTGAATAAATTAATGCAATATAATTAATGCAATATACACCACTATTGTGGTAATGTGCACATTTGTTAAGGTCAATCTATATCAGGTTATCTTCGCTGAAATATGGCTGAATAGACAAATTAGCACCCAAACATTCTGAATGTGCTGTGGGAACAGGTAGTGACCAGAAGTGTTAAAGACAGTGGTTAATTCCTTCTCTAGAATCATCGAAATTCAGCCCCAAGTCACCACGTTAGGTTTTCAGTTTCTAATCAGCCATCAGCTTATAGGCTCTTGGCTATGTCTGTGTCTAAGAACTACAAATTTGAAGACAATGCAACAGCTATTGTCCTCTAAAGTAATGCTGAGTAAGCACAAAGAGTCATGAAGAATAAAAAGAAGGCAGTGACCCAAAGAAATACCAAACTGAAACCATCAACATATTGAAATTAGGTTGAGAGCTGCTTTGCCTACCTTTCCATAATCACAATCTAGGAAGAGATCAGTAAACATTTGCCTCCACATATCATGTTTTACTGCTTCTTGGAAGTCACCAGCACACCGATGGAGATGCTTCAGGATTTCTTGGAACATCTCATGTGAAAAATGTTCAGTGTAGGAATGGACATACTATGGAGAGAAAGCAGTAGTGTAAATGGTGAGCTTTCTTCAAAGTATTTTCACCTTTATTTGAACTCCTAAAGATCTACGGCATGCAATGAAATACATAGGGATTTGTAGCTCAGTCTGTTCACATAACGCAGACTTGGTGCATGGATGCTACACTGCCTACTTTGGTTTTTCTTTCAGAAGCAGCAATACTCTCCAAACAAACCTGGGACACCGCTGTGCTAGGCACTGCACGAATGCACCTTGAACAGTTCCTTTCCTGGCCCAGAGGTCACTTATATGTTCAGTGGTTCAGAGATGCTGGATCCGAATCCTCCCTATGAAACATCATTGCTTAAGCTTGGTTATCTCCGGGAGGACACAGGCTCTCCATGGTTTTCTGCAGCATTTAGTATTCCAGACTTTACTCCCAAAGAGGCATTCTGAGCCATCAGTTTTTGCAGAACTGGCAGCCCCTCAACTCTCTTAATGCCAGAAAATGACCATTGCCCACAATTTCAGTGTTTAGAGAACCAGTCTGGATACCATAAAAAAAGGAAAGAACTTTTTGAAAATGAGCCTGCTGTCACCTAAGTCCTCTGACACTAGGCATACTACTGACTCAGGATTTATTTTAAGTTCTAGCCTTGGAGACACTTTAACACTTTGGATTTATAGCCATGTGGTTTTTATGAGCAAAAGCAATATGGTTCTAAAAATGTGGTGTGCATGACATAAATAATAATGGCCATCAGGACAAACCACAATCCCAAAGCCTGTGCTGAATTATTATAGCAGGTTTCTGGAGCCAGACACAGTAACAGGGAGCCTACACAGTTAAAAAGAGGAATTTGCAAAACACAGAATGTTTCCCATTATTCCACTTTTAGAGTAGGGATACCTGAAATAAATGCTAGAACATCTTGGACTTATTGTAATGCTGCCCAAGCATTCACGAACTGAAATATTAATATATGTTGTTATTATTTGTGTCTATATTGCATAATTTCCAAATATATGGGACAAGTGGAGAAGAGAGAAAGAGCAGAAAAGCAGCAGCTGATGGCCTGAGGGGTGGCTGGTGGGAAAGAAGAACTCCTAACACAATGTGTGGTTTTTTTCTGCGTTTCAGCATAAAAAGAGAGGATGTAGGTGGGTTGGAGAGAAAGTGGCAGATTTGGGGCTACGTGTATCTACTAGCTTTTCAGAGCTATTACAACCCGGAGCCCTGTGACAGATGAACCTTAAAGATGACAGCAGTTGGGAGGTGGCAGGTTGGACAAGCGGCTTGTTATTTTGTATGTCATCTTGATGACACATCCCAAGGCTTGTGTGTTAATACTGCTGTCTAACAGCTTCACAGAACATTTTTTAGAAGTGTATGTTTGGCTGTGTGGGCAGAAGGAACTATCGTAGAGTCATAAGCTTTTCTTAGCTGGTGTGTGTGTAGAGCACTCTACTGTGTACACATAATCAGCATACATTTATTTATTATTAACCAAGAGATTCTGACACCCATCAGGAGAAAGCTGCCACACCTCCCTCTCGCTACCCAGTGTGAGACCTTACTGTAGTTTATGAACACATTATCATTAATAACAATGGAGCTTTGTTCCTGCTGATGCCAATAGAAATCAAATAAAACACATGCAATCACGGAGAATAGTCTCACCTTTAAAGCCTGATTCTGACCCTACAAAGGCAATGGGAGCATTTCCCTTGGTGTCAGTAGCCTTGTGTCAGGCTGCTGGGGGTTCTGCATGTTCCAGTACAAAGCCTGGGAAATAAACTCTTAAGGACTGGTCTCTGGGATTTAAACACTTTTCTATTAAAAGACCCCACGAGCTTGTCACGAAGGATGTAAAAATATAACAGCCACTGTTTTGCATGTCCAAAAAAGCCCCCCCAAAACCCAACAACAACAGTGTGTGAGGTCTCTGCTGAGTTTCTAACTGCCTTTGAGTAACCCAAAGCTGCACTGAGCTCCAGGAAGAAGAAAAAAAAAGAAAAAAAAAAAAAAGAAAAAAAGCGCACCATTTAATTTTAAAGTCCATTAAAAAGCAATGCTTTCCACATGTGAAAGGGCCCAGACCAGTGTGGAGAAAGATCATCTCTCTTTCTGGGTTTGGTGGATGATGCAAACTGATGAACAAAGGTAAATTGTAGCTGAGGATTAGAACCAGCCCTGTCCCAAGAGCAAGGCCTGTGATTATGGAACAGTTTCCCAAGGGAAGTGATGAAAGCCTCATCATTTGATTCTATTAAAACTGGCCTGGAAAAAGCATCAGAGAATATATTCCGAGAACAACATCACACTGGTTGGTACATCAGACAGCTTGACAGTCCATCTTTTGTACAGCTGATCTCTGTTGTCATATCTTTAATTGAGTTAAAATACAGAGTACACAAAATATATTTTGAAACATTTTTCTAATGCTAATGGAGCATGAATTCATTCAGTACTTATACATGTACCGTAGGGGTTATGGATTGATGCTTCATTTCAATGACAAAAGCAATTCTCTGGGCTCCCATTATCCACAATAGTTTTCTTAATTAAATGCAGTTATTCCGAGGTTAAATTTAAAAATACCTCATTTCATGCTTTAAAAAGCCTCAACAAGTTATCATAAAAATGCATCTCTGCAAAATATCGAACATATGAGTCTCCTGAGAGTGAAGAAGGCACAAAAATCACACATGGTTGCTTGAAATTAATCTCTGCACAGCTGCTTTATACTCTGTTTTTAATTATTGTAACAGCACCCACTAGCACTGCTACAATTGAGGGTCTGTCATTATTTCTATTCTAAACATCCCTTTTCACAGGTTTCATTACCCAGCCATAAAATTTAGCTCTGTCGTAGGTAGAAATGTCTGACAGAGTTTTGGCCTGGAGAGTTTTTCTGTAAATATAGTTTGATCCGATTTGGTTGTTTTCAAACTGATGAAGACTAGAGTAATGGGGTAAAACTTCCAACTACAGTGATTTTGGTGAGTTAAAACCGTATTTCTGATGTTTCTCAATGACAGCTTTTGATTTTAAAACCGTGTCTTTTTCAGCCTGGTTATGCTTCTCACACGTTATGACACTTGTTGCAGTTTGGTTATGGTTCAGGGCGAAAAATGGTAGAGGTTCTCATCCCAGTACATCACTTGTTAGGTTTTTCTATGGCTAATAGAACGTAATCAGAAATAGCAGTACTCTGGGGACAGCACTAATGACCTCAGGCTAATGGTTATATTGGGATACTGAACCTGCCTTGAGCAGCCAGGGCAAAATCTGGATTCCCAAGTGATTCAGGGCTTTGGCATTCTAGAAAGGGACCGAGGGGGATGTGCTAAAAACCACTGCTTCGAGAGTGACTTCTCAGAGAGCAGCACAGGCTGCAGCTCTCACGAAAGCAAAATACTCCCCCTTTTCCGGCCAGAATGGAAGCGTGGCGACAGCAGAGATGGATGTGGAGACAGGTTATGGAATGTCCTGATGCAACCAGTTACCTGGGATGTTGGAGAAGGGAAGCCCTTCACTTACTCAGCTGTCCCCAGGGAAGTGCTACAACTTTGTGATAAACATCATATTCTGAATCGGATGCTCTTATTTCATTTCTCACCTCTGCAAATTCTTCTGTGTTTATTTTTTTTTCCAGTGTGTCTACGATTTCCAGCTTCTTGTCACAGATTGCTAGTAAAAAATGAAGGGATAAAGGGATATTGGTTTAGAAAGCAAACAGTTGTGGTTTTGCATATTGTACGCCATCTTTTTTCACACTATATGCTACATTAACTTTGAGGTTATCCTACACAGTAGCTGAAGCATCTGACTGTATAGAGGCTATCTAAATCTGATTCCTACATATTTCTCTTGCTGACAATCTGCACTTACTTATTCAGAACTGTATGGTCATATTTATTCATGACATATGTTGGTGCAAATGACCATGATTTTAACAGCACTTACAATTAATTAGGTGAGGGAAGAAATTATTTTTGATTTTTCAAACAGATAAAACTGCCTTAAAATTCCAGGGACTAGGATTCTGCTTTGCAAGACTGGTATCTGAAAATCACAGTAATTTTTCTAAGAAGCTCTGTGGGAATATTTTTACTGATCATGATATTCAAAACTATCTTTTGGTCAGCTTCTGGGCTGCTATAATGGAACTAAGAGGCTATGTCAAATGTCTACATAGATTTCTGAATGAGGTCTTTGAACACAGACATGTTGTTTCTCCTGGGATTCTTTTTCTGTTCCTTCTCGTACAGTGTATCAGGAGTAAGGAAAAAACTCACCGCAGAATGCATTTATCTGTTGTTGGTTCAGACTTTCCTAAATCGTACATTATCTTTATTAAAACAAAGCTTAATGTTCCATTAATGTATATTGGATGCTATTAAATGAAATAAATAAAGTAACAGAGCCACACTATTAGTGAAATATGACATAAAGCACCTCCAGCATCTGGAGAGCAAGCATGGGGACAGAAACTTCCTCCTCAGTCTCGTGTCCCAGTATGTGTTCATGCCCCAGAATCACAGCCACCACGGCAGGAGCACAAGGGCTGTGTTCGGCATTCGCACAACGTACTCCCAATACGGGATGATTGCTCAGAGGAATCATTCTGTAACGTAGAAAGGGCTGAGCAAAGGCAAGCTCTAGACAGAGGTGACTCCAGCAGCAAGCAGAAATGCACTCTGGAGTTCCCTGCTTATCATCCCATCTTCCAGCAAAGGCAGATTTGTTATTATTGACGATCATTACGGGCTCTCAATGCAAAGGGCTGGCAGCAGCCTCTGTGTTCCAGCTTCCTGGCTCTATCAATTCAATGATCATTATCTGGGGAGGTCAAGTGTAAGCTACATAGAGTGGACAGGAATTATGGAAATCCTTTCTGTGCTGAGTGCTCTGGTACAGAGGCCCTTGTGCATGTGTCACTGGCATGCCTGGGCCTGGGGAAGGAATGGTGAGACAATATGGGCTATTTGGCATCTCCCCTCAAACCACAAAAGGTAACAACACAGTCAGACATTAATTTTTTCAGTCCTGCCTTTCGACCATACCTCCAGGTATGCCAAGCTGTCCGTGGGATTTCCAAGACCTCCTATGAGGCAAGGAACACCATGGGGTAGGGTAGATGAAGGAGGTTGTTACAGTGATTCTTAAAAGTTGTGATAAGCACCAGGCACTGTCTGGCTAATGAAGGATGTAGGTGGAAAGGGCCTGCATCTGATCCTTCTATCTCTCTGAAAGATTTTTAAAACTTCTTTCCTTACTTTTCAACATGGTGGTTCAGTCTCCTTTCAATCTGTCTGAAGGTTTGTGGTTCATATCCTAGCTGGTGTAACTACCTTTAGAGATTCTTTCTCTATTTATCCAAGCTGTTTGCTCACAGTTTGCACCAAAATTCAGACCACACTAAAACTAAAGAAGACATTGAAAACTCACCTTTCCTCACATCTGTGGGAATAGAAGCAATGACATCTGGAAAAGACCCCAGGGCACTCTGAACCTACAAATCAGGTGATAGTCAAAGGCCTGTTTCATGCAGACAATTGCAGGCAATTACTAAAATAAATCACCTGGAACAATCAGCCCTATGGGCCAACCATGCTTCTTACCACCCATAGGTGAGCCCTGTTAAGTGTAAGCCTTGTCTATGTTGTGCTGTGTGTAACCACAGGATAATTTTCTAGGGGCCTCGTGTGACTTGTAAGAAAGGTGCTTGTACCCAGGGATGTATTACAATTACTGCAGATCTCATCTTTTATGAGCTGCAACATCAATTTGTGTGAGTCACAGGGGTAGAAAGAAGTTTTAATGGAGGCCACAGAAGAGCAAGAGTGGCTGCCCCAAACCTTTTTAAGGGGATCCCAGGGGATAACCAGCTGCAGAGAAGGACATCCAGTGATGAGGTATGTATCCAACAACCTCAGGAGTGTCTGAGTACCTTATGGGGCATTTATCTTCCCACGGGTCTCCGTGGAGAACACATTGCAATCCTTCCATGCGCTCATGGGGAATCAAGGCTTGGTGAGGCTAAGTGGGAGACAAAGACCTGCACCCTGACCCTAAGGGATGTCAGGGCCATCACCCATCCCTGTGCTCCATGCTGCCATCCTGGGGCAGGCGGCACTATCACAATCTTCTTCTTCTCTCCTGTCTGGAACAATCATAGCAGTGTGTTAACAAGGATCTTCCCTAGTTACCAGTGCAACTGGTATTCTACCACTGACATCCACCGTCCACTGTTTGAACTGAATCGCCAGCGCCTCCTTTCTCATCTCTTTCAGCTGAGACTTCATGTTGTCCACCTGCTCTCTTTCCTTACGTTTGTTCTTTGCCTCAGCCCTCATCCTGGCCAGCCTGTAGGACATGGAAATATGCTTTAGAAAGATACCAGCATAAACTTATTTAAGATAGATTAAGCCTACTCTGAAGAACAAAAGGAAAGGAACTAAGTTTTTGCTGAAATTCTTGTCCCTCTAGTATAAGCAGATTTTTTTCCAAACAAATACTTGATGTTTGAGGCACAAAATTACTAGCGTGACTATTGGACTAGATATTAGTAATCTGTTTGCAGAGAGCAGCTCCAAGCAAGTGAGACTATTTATATTCTGACATGTATCACCTCCTGAAATCTAGTGTAACTATGAACTTGAAGAAATAACCTCTGAGTGTCAGATACGTGCATGTGGAGAGAGCCTCTTGTAGAGTACATGGTAGACATTCAAGAGAAAATGATCTGTACAGCTCTCCTAGTTTGTGTAGTTTCAACAGTGATAAATTTTACCTTCACATTTATAATGGCCTTCATAATTTATTGTGTAGTCATCCTTCAATTTCCTTCCAATTTTAACAGGAAGGGAGGTGTCTAATTTGGCTACACTTGATTTACCAACAAAATTGTATCCGTGTGCATTTGTCTCAAAGCCTAAGTGCCATTTCACATAAGCACTTCAATGGCACAGAAGAATGTTCAATGAAACTTTTTAAGCAGTCTCACACAATAAAGTCCTTACTGCCTAAGGACAGGGATAATACACCAGCGTCTCCGTCATTTTGAACATAGAGTTTGCAAGCTTGGACTAAAAGTACCTCCCTTTCTTCGTCCTTCTGTTTTCTTTGCTTCTCTAATCACCCAGCCGTGTTTTTCCAATATTTCATTTCAGACAACAAAAGAACTGAGTAAGATTGATCCCATAGAACTTACCTGCTTTGGGTTTGGCTTTGTTCATTTATGAAATGGACAAAAGCCTTTAGGAAGTTCAAAATGTTTAAAGCCAAAGCATCAGTTCATATGGGGAGAACAGTGTCTGCTTATTGATGCTGCTGGAATCTCTCTGCATTAAGCCATCTGCCCTGCACACCTCTGCGGCTCTCACTTACACCTTCTTGTAGCTAGTCAGAGTAAGAAGAATTGCTTCTTTTGTACACCTGAGAACACTCTAGTCCAGAAACTGTATTTTAACTAATGATTTCTGCTCCCTTCTTCCCTTTGTTTAACGTACTGTGAAGATGGTCTGACCCTGTCCCTGCTCTCTTCTGTTGCTATGGGGTCATCCTAGAAATTATAAACCAGTATTTTCTTTAATGAATAGAAAGGCCTTTAACATGTTACAGCAACACACTTCGATCACAGTCAGTTTTATCACTAGGTACTTGTTCTTCATGGACACTTATCACAGATGTTTCTTAATGGATAACTGGGTTCCTTAATCAATTCTGGGCATTGCACAAGTGCCTGCTGAGGCAGTTCAGCCTCCAGCACGTTGATAGCAGGGGAAGGGTAAAATAATTTCCTATCATCTTCTGACTCCTTCACAGACACAGCAAAGCAGGGTGCGTAGCAGGTACCAAGTTAAATGGACTAACAGGTTTTTCTCCAATGTATGCTACAAACAGAGAAAACCAGACCGTTTCTAGCTGCAGCTGCTGCTCGGGAGTGGTCTGCGAGCTGAAAGGAGAGCTAAGGCCATGCTAGGAGTTGCCAAGGTGCTCTGGTGATTAATTTGGGCAGTGCCCTGCACAAGTCACACTGCACCTGCACTGTGCTGCAGTTTTGCATTTATTTCTAGGGTCCTAAAACACCAGGCAGCTGCATCCTCTGCCTGGTGTCCCCGGTGTGGGACAAAATGTTTCCCTGCTAGACAATAAGGGCAAACCAAACTAGAACGGTGCTGGGCAGTCGTTTCAAAGTGAGCTCATTTCAGTATTAGACACTTCCAGAAAAGATGAGAAGGCAGCGAGGGTGACTTCTCCCTGCAGAATGAAACATGTTTCTTCAGGAAGACAGCCGCCTGACTCCCACACAAGGATGGGTGACTCAGACTGAAGGACTACCATCCCTGGACAAATAAAGTCTGTTTCAGGTATCAATCCATTTGGATAAGGAAATTCTCCCATCTGTTCTCCCGCATGCCTTGCCTCCCAGTCAGGTGGCAGGTAAGGAGAGACTGGAGGAGCTCACTGAGGACTGCTTCAGATAAGAACCTGTGGTGAAATCCTGCCTTTCCTGAAGGTAATGTCAAGGCTGCTGGGAGCTCCACTGGGGCCAGAATTTCACTCCTCATCTTTCTGGTGCTTATGTGAGAGATTTTAAGCACAGACTGGCATTTTTCTTGCAACATTCTTTTTCCTATTTAGAAAGCCAGTGACTCACATCAGGAGTCTCAGTGCTACATGGTGTCAGTAAAATCCTCTGTGCTGCTGTCGTTTAAGAATCCTATGCAAATCCTACAATACTGCCATCACAAATATGTAAATCCTGAGCTGCTGTGAATGCAAATCCCATGATACTACTACCAGCGGATATGCAAAACCTGCTGCAGCAATGGCTACAGAAATCCCCGTGGCGGTGCTGTCTGTGGAGAGATTGATTTCTACAAATCTTGATAGTCACTTCCTTTGCATCAGCTCTGATAGCTACAAATTGAGAACCTGTCTCCAAATGTAAACATGGACTTAACAGCCAAGGCCAAGATAACGTGTCACTAGTAGCCAACACTATAGGAAAATCGGACCTTTCCAGAAATAAGCTGTGATTCACAATGAAAGCTAAGAGAATTTTAGTAAAAAACCCCCAACCAACCAAACAAAAACAAACCAAAAACCCAACCCAAAACTCCAGGAAATGTTATGTATTTGAATTTACTTGCTCTTGCAAAACAAAAATGAGATATGGTTCTGAACATCCTGCATCTATGTGTCCCTCTGTGAAGCAGAATGAATGGTCAAACCGTCCCCAAAACAAAGGTGTGGCAAGGCTGGCATCCTGCACAGCCCCCCCCAACAGTCTGTGCTTGAGTGAAAGGTCACTGAAAAAGAAGATGTTTCCCCAGTTCATTTGTTTCAGTGGACTGGCATTTAAAAAAAAAAAAAAAAAAGAAAATATTTTACCAGCTCTAGTTGTACTACTGTATGTCTGCTTATGAAGAAAAAACAAAAAGCTGAGTTCTTACACACTGACCACTGTCAGTTATAATTATTTGGAGGGAAAAAGGAGGTAAGTGACTGCATGAAATTAATTTCTCATACTGCTTTAGTTGTAGTCACACAAGGCATGTTCCTATGAACCGTAACAGTATGTGGACTACAAATGGAGAGAGAGAAACTCAGAGCAGTAGAGAGAGATTTAACATTTTTTTTTAATTCACTGTAATACTGTGAACTTCAATTATCTTCATTTAGAGTTTATGTGTAAGACTTGTCAACATTTTACTTCCCTAGTTCCTGACACTGAAACCCTGAAACCAATTTTCAAGCTGCGCATAATATTTATGCAAATAGAAGAGATGGCCATTCAAATAGAAGTCATTATTCTACAAACACAGTTATAGAATAAAGTGATCTAGTAGCGAAAGTAATTTTGACATCATTCACGATCACCTCTGGGTCATCTATAAACACAAATGTTCACTTCTATATTTTTCATAACAATGAAAACGAAAGCATTTTTCTTCACCTAATGCACTCACATTCTAACCTTAGCATAATGTAACATGCCATGGAACCCCTTTCCAACATTCATTAAATATTATACTAAAGCAAGCAGCCTAGAATACACCCCAAAAATAAGCAACATAATAAAATACAAAACAGTTTCTACTTTAAAGGGAAAAAAGAATCTGAAAGTATAAAATCCCAGGAGGAGTTTCTACAATCTGCCAGGACAATATTGTTGGTGTTTTGGTCAAGAGAAATCATCCCGAAGAAGGAAAAAAAAAGGTTGTCTTTAGATTAAGTTTGGCAGAATATGGAAGAAATGATCTGAAGAGTGGACAGACCTTTGATACCAACACCTGTCCTAAAGAAGTGCTGTCGCTAACCTAGACTGGTTTGAAAGCAGTTTGCATTCCACATATGTAAATAAGATAGAGCCTAAAGAGGAATTATATACTTGTGAAGGGCAGAATATTGCCTTGAACAGGAGTAACTAGTGTTTCGTTTTGTGTGACACGTTCTGGCATTTGTCCTGCTTCTCAAGTTTTTTATGAGAGACAACCACCATCTCTGGCACTGCACTCCATAAGGTTAATTTTGTTCGACACTGCAGTCACACCATTCCTTTTGTGAAACAGAGACCAAGACACCAAGCTCTGGTCTTGCGACCAGCTACACTTTCAACTCTCTCACCTCTCTGATGTCGTACCAGGCATCTCAGTTTTTAGCTCCTCTGTGACCATCTTCATTCCTCTCAGGTACGGGCCTGGTTTGGTAGAAATACTGTACCGAGGGTTATGTCTCATCAGATATTCTCCAAGGAAAATAATGGGGTTAAATTTGGCTGATTTTTTGTCTGGTGTGAGCACATTCTTTCTTTCCACTTCCATTAACAGTTTTTCCATTCCTGGGATTAATGTAGGTAGGAGTTTGTCAAGCAAATAGATGCGAGTGTCTAGTGTCTCTTTGTCTCCACTGAACCACTCTTTGAACAGCCAGTCACAGGGTTCTCTCTTCTCGACATTTTCTTCTTTTGCCTTTTGTGAGTGAATCATCTTCACCTTTGTCTCCTGCAGCCTCAGACACCTCTGATGTACCTTTTCATAAAAACGCTCTTTCCACGGAGCGGAATTACTAAGACATGGCAGCTCATCGTTCCCCTGATTCCTCTTCAATTCTGTGGCAGCCAGATTCTTACCTCCAAGTCTGGGTTGTTTTAGACCTGCAGTTTGGGCAGCTTCTTCGGGCTGAGCAGCCATACTTCAATCACTGGGACAGAGAACAAAAGCAATATGTTATATAATGCCAAAAGATGCAGCAGTGTCCTAGCAGATGACACAGGAAGAAAGTCTATTGTTAGGAATTAACTAATATTCTTTTTCGGCGTTCCTTTTTTATTCTGTTACTGCTGCTTTGTACTCTTAAATAAATACAGCCCCTTTATTTCAAAGATCAGTAAATGATTTATAAAGATTAATTATGTATCACAATAGCCCTTGGAGACAGAGCAACTAAATAAGTGTGTTCCTTTCTTACGGGAGAAGAAACTGAGACACAGAAATGATTAATTCCAGGTCACTTAGAGACTCAGAAACCCAGTGGTAAACAGTGCTCAGAATTCTTGTCTCCCGGTTCAAACCAGTGGATTCTTCTCACCCCTAGTATCATTATTTCTGTTTAGGTCCCATTCCATGACTCCAGAAAATCCAGTGGATAAGAGACAAAGCAAGCAAGTAATGGAAAATACCCGATGCCTAGGAGTAAGATTTCTCTACGTGCCACCTTCTGCTTCATCTTTTCTGTAGCTGTGAGAAACAGTGAGGAAGCTTGTCCCACAGATGACTTAATTTCAACTTTGGCAACTGTCTTTTCCTCTGGACATTCTGTTCAGGTAACGAGGACACAGGTGCATGGGTCAGCAGCGCTCATACAGAAAGGGAAACTCTATACCATGAACTCTGTAATTAAGCTGTTCACAAGCACTTAATCTTGTAGGTTAGTCTGTAAAAGACAGACCTATAGAGAGTTGCAGATATCTCCCTTTACAATTTCCCAGACTCCGCTGTTTTCTTCTCAATACGTTAATTCTGTGAAATGCCAAGAAGATACTGAGTTGCTCACGTGGCACAGTTTGAAAACCATTGCGCTATGTCTCCACACATAACTGCATCTGTAATGGGACTTACCCATACAGAATGGAGCAGAACGTTGCCGAACTACTCAATTCAAAGCATGAAAAATCACCAGCATGCTGTAAAAAAAACCCCATCTCAGTGTTAAACAACAACAAGGGAATGCTGATATTGATAGAGTGAGCCCAACGCCTTTCCAAACTAAAGATGAAACCACTCGGAACTTGCTGCCATACTATCGTTTTCAAGCTCTTATTTAAAAGTGCTTTCCACTAAGGCCTTTGTATCCATAGCAATACCATTGCTTTTGATATGTTTTGCTCTTCATGTTTAAGCATTTGTAGCTGTTCTGAAGAGAGTTCAGCCCTCCAGGAAATGCATAAATGTGATCTACAGCCCTCCTGGCACACAAATGTAATTACTAATATGTTGACCTTCTGGTTCATAACCATTGTTTGAATCCAAATACTGCTTGGATAGGTAGGATGTTTCACAGCACTAAATTTCTATGTCTGTTTTCTCCATGGGCTTGTTGGCATCTCCTGATAATTTGTTTTCAAAGATAATTACCTGCTGGGGAGTGAGACGGATTTATGGATCAAGCTGCCTGCTTGACCCACCCAGAGGGTTTTAAGATGGTAGCTGGTTTTGCCACTGAAGGACACAAGCTGTAAAGAGTCCAGATTTATAATGGTAGAAAGGGAAAACTGTCAGCCCTGTCAAATTGTTCCTTGCTTAGGTGAGTTTCTTTCAATTATCTGTAAAACCAGACTTTTTCTGGTTCAAAGCAGGGTGTTATCCAAATGTTCTGGTCACATTCCAAATCAGCTGGTTTTGTTGTGCCAAAATAAACTGTTCTTGCAGTTTCAAATACTTCTGTTATTTTTTAACATCCATTATGAAACTGCTCTGCAGTTTCTGTGCAATGTTAAAGTGACAACTGCACTCTGCTTTATGAGGTGACTGATTCTGAATGTTGACGAATATATTTTCTACACTGCTCTCAACCATTTGTTTGGATGATTTTGAGGATTAGTAAATGTTTATAAAGTATCTCTATGCCTCTGAACAAAACAAAACACAACGCAACGAAGTGTGACTGTTCTATCTCAATTCCACGGCATTCACATAACTCCAAGAATGAAAGCAGAGCACAGAGAACCATGCCCACTGCTTTCATGCAGGACAGACAGAGGAGACTAAGAGGGTATGGAAAAACATACAGACAACACATAACTGTTAAACAACAAAGGAATGCTAGAATCAGGACTCGAAACTTGGAATTTGTTGAGGATTACAGGGACGCACCTCCAGTTTGTGTAAGACACCGCTGGCTCATAAACTTCAGTGCTGATTTACATTCGTTGAGAATTTGGCCCATAACATATATGACATTCCCAAGGGGAGGCTTGATTGTCCAAATAATAGTAAGCATGGTGCACAGAGACAAGCTTTAGAAACACCCAGGAAATTTGAAATGTGATATAAAGTTTCCTGTAAGCCTTTGTTCAAGCTGAAGGCAAGATAAGCTTTTCATTATTTAGTAGGATGCCACTTTCCTGGCTCCTTTCTGTGAGACAAATATTCCTGCTGGAATCCCTGCAGGTACAAAAAGATTATCTCTCCATTTTCTGTACATAACCCAAATCTGCTCATAAATAAGATTTTTATGGTTTCATTGTTATTCTGTTAGGGGATTTTGATGGGTGGGATAGGGCCAGGAAAGACTAAAGTTTGTCTAAGTAAGTATTTTGGAGATGTTTGAGTTACAAAAGTCTTTTCAAAAGCAGAGTCCAATCTCTTTGACACTCTATCGCTCTGAAATAGTTTTGCCTTTCTCTAACCTGCTTCATAGTTAGTGCATGTTTATCTTGCCAGTCACAAAGAGCCCGATACACTTTTCATACGTGATCTTCTCAATACAATTAAAATTTAAAAAGACTTTCTCTTTTGCTTTCTGAAGCTTTGAAGAACTGTTTTTCTTACCTTTGGAGCAGGTATCAAACAAGATCTTACTCCTCCTGCTTTCGAAGTGGCTTTGCAAACGAGCAGGAATTTAATATATGCCCTTCTGTTCTCAGCCATTAAAAATCTTAAAATGAATTAGGGATTTCTCAGACCTGCTGTGGAGCCGGGCTGTGAGTTTTACTCCTCTGTGTGTTTGCAGTTGCTAAGCAATAATCCCAAAGGTTGCTATGTCTCTTCCACAACTCAGAACTGCTGTAGGTTGTCTTTTGGCTTTGGCAGCCCAACAGACTCTTCTGTACTGAACGTAGATCGTTGCATCACATGACTGAAAATAAAATAAAAAAGACTGTGAATAGCAACAGACAACGTTAAGGACACCAACAGTCAGAGAGAGAATCCACAGGTGCCCAGTGACAGGAGGTTTACCTTCAGATTCAAGTTTCGTGATGTCCAGAACTGTCATAAGTCCATTACAGGCTGAACTGAGGAGTGTATTAACCAGATGTGAGAATCTGAGAGATAAAAAGAAATTAATTACAAACTCAATTTAAACATTTTCAGGCTTTCTTTTTTTTTTTGTAAAGAACTGTGTTGCTTTGAAGTAGCTTTGCAGGAAGGGCACTTACAGCACTATTAAGGGGGGGGGTTATAGTGCCATTTTGTTAGAGTGCCTTTAAACCTGAATCTAAAGGAATTTGATGAATCACCTTTAATCATTTCTACTATATTCTTGAAGAAGAATAAAATGCAACACAGGGAAATAAGAAGGAAAGAGACAAAACCATCTATAACAGTCATTCTGCCCTCATTTATACGAATGTAAATCAGGTGCCTGTTCAGTCATTTCCTTGGTGTTATGCAGGAATTCCAACTGAGAATTTTATGGCAATTTCTGCCAGGAAACAAGGTTTATCTAATGCTGTTTGTTTCTTTCTTTGTATTTGCACTGGAGAAGGCATGATCTTTGGATTGTCTACCTGAAAGAAAACCGAACTGTGGCCTTTTCTATAGTATTTGTCCCTGGAACAGCTGCACGGTACCCTAGCCCCTAGCAGAGTATTAGTCTCCATTTTATGGGACAGCTGAGCTTGCTACAAAACTTGAAATAAAGGAGGTTTAATATAAATAACAGATTTTTCCCAACATCTGATACAGTTACTGACAAAGTCACATCTGTTCTCTAGTTTAGGAACTCTGGAGTTTTAATTGCGGACTCGAAAATTTCATTCTCTGTCATCTTCATCAAGTCACTTGTTATTTATTATAGCACCCACAACACCAAGGTAAATAATAATTAATTTATAAAACTCTGGAAATGGAAATAGCTCTTAGTAACATGCACCCAGGGTTCCAACATAAACCCAGTACAATATTTATCCTGCCCTTAAAAAAAAAAGGTTTCGTTTTGTTCCTAAGACCTGTCATAGGAGTTAGAAAGTGTGCCTGCTGTGTACAGGTTTTTCACAAGGAGGGAATTTGCTCAGAAACTACAAGAACAATTATAATTTAGTGGACAAAAGCCTCAATTTTTCTTTTATTTTTATACTGTCTTTTCTGGAAAGTAGGACACTATAGAAATTCCTGGTTTGTACCCAGCAACGTTTATTTTTCCTCTATGTACTCCTGACCATATTTCAGAAAAATTTGTATGGTTTTAAGTTCTATATATACCTTTGGCCATCTGTGCAAAGTGTCTCTCTGAAAAAATGCTTCTCCTGGACACTCTCAAATACCCCTGGAATGCCAGGCTTACCATGGAGTAATACGCTGTCCACACTGCAACACTGACTTGATTTTCGAATTCAGTATTTGCTTGCAGAGAGGAAACATAGCACAAAAAGACCCAGAAAACACACATAAGTCAACTTCCATGTGAAAAATATGCTGTAAGAAATTATAATTTATCTGATATTTTTTTGGAAAAAAAAAAATTATCAGAAGGAAATATGCTCATTGCAGTGTATTTCCAAGATGCGTTGAAGTATAGCATCAATTATGTTAATAAAATGAAGCAGAAAATTAGTGCACAGGAATAATTTAAAATGAGGCTTTAAACTGGATTGTGCACTTTTTCCTCAAAGCAGTTTGCACATGATTAACTCCTGTTATCTCTTCTCCCAGGCGGGCTTGATTTTTTCCCTTTGCAATTCAGAATTCTGTTGCTATTATGATTAACTTACAAAACTTTTTTCTTTTTTCAGCATGAAACATAAATTAAAAAAATACTCTCCCTTTTCTTAAGGGGACTTTTTTTTTTTTTACCCCCAAACAAGAGCATACAAATAGAACTTGGAAGGAGGGATCAAAATGGCCTTATTTTTATTTTTCTGGAAGTGGAATCCCGTGGGTTAAGCAAACCTTTAATTGCACCCTATTTAACTTGGCTGTTATCCCTTAATGTTTTTGCTAAGCAAAGTGTATCCTTTTATTATGCCATCAAATACTTGCACTGTTGACAAAATAATGGGCTGAATATGTCATCACAGATGTTTTGCTGGAATTGCCTCTTCTATCTTTTTTTTATTTTTCTGTGTAAGATACATTTTGGGAGCACTCTGTTGCCTTTTGCAGCTGATGCCAAGACTATGCAATAAAAGCCCTGACATGTAGTAATAATAAGTTGTGTTAGCTGGAGAAATGTTTGCAGGGTATTAAAGAAAATAGTCAGTTTTGGAAATGCATACAAAACCAGCTCATGTATAGCTTCACATCCTTTAAATGATATATTGGGCTAAAGCTGCAGGTGCTGACCACAGTGCTTTCAGCACAGGAAAGAATAAGACCACAGGCGTCCAGTCCCTTTTTTGTACCAACCATGATGCTGTGACCACAGGCTGCCCTCTAATTACTCTTTTCAATCAGAATACATCTGCCTTATAGCTTCCTCCTCCATATTTAAATTCTGCTGCTAAAAAACACTACATATGCAAATTATACCTTCCTAATGGCTCGGAGGACCGTTGCAATCTGTGATTACTGTAGTTGCTAGCTGATATGTTGGACCTTTAGCTAACTGTAGATAGCCACTCCATTATTTACTTGTGGTAAATGTTTTTTTTAAAAAAGTTTGACACTCAAATACCTGGAAGAGCTACAGGCTATATGAAAACTATACAAAGGTCTATTTTGGAAGCTGGTTTTAATAATAATTTCTTGATAGTAATCCCTGCATGACTGTTGATCATAATCCAGAATGAAACACCAGTCCCAGGTGAGGGAACTGCCAGAATACTCCGGGAACTTGTAGTCTGTATCAACCCAGACGTATCTGAACAGAAGACACATACCTTGAAGCAGCCCTATATTTGCAGGAATCTGTCTGCGTGAAACAAGACAACAACCTAGATATTACACTTTAAAGAAAGGTAAATAGCATTAAGATTCCTGTCATGTGCCAGAGAAGAAAAAACTTTCCCATCCTTAAATGTGACTCCCGCCTCCACTGAAAAATCAAGGTAAAAACTTTACAGCAGCATGGTCTCGTATCTGGCTACCACCTCAACACAGTGGTTGGTAACCACAAAGAATCTCTCTGCTAAGCTGCACTATGCCTTGTTTAACCAAGATGTAGCCAAGCACCTGAGTCCATGCTTCTTATGTTCCCAAAACCTTCTCCAAGGCACTACTAAGTGATGAAGGATCATTTTCACCTGAAAGAAAGGAATGCTTTCCCAGGAGACAAAGCACTTTTTCGGTTTAACAGAAAATAAGACAGAAAAATGTAGTTTGGAGAACAAACACCATATTTGAGTAAAATATAACATAAAGCATCTACAATGAATATAGTGGCAAACCTAAATAATCTTTAAAATTATTGAAAATGAAAAGGTTCCCATGTGTTCCATCATACTGTTGATCCGTGACGTTTTTAGCTAACGGTTTACATCTGGCCTTCCCTGAATTGGGTACAAACTAAATAAAAAGATGACTAATACGGTCTGAAAAACACACTTTATGCAGCTTAGTTATATGGCTGGAACAAGTAGCAAATACTGATAGGAAAAAAGTTCTGTGGAAACTACAGATAGAGCTTTTTTCGGTAGCCACACCTAACAGCCTTAGTGGTCTAGCTGTGTCATCTGAAAGCGTGAAAAAAACTGGTACATGCAACTCAGAAGCGGAGAGCAGTCCTTTTTCTCCCTAAAGTTGCAGCTTGCTTTATCTATAATGGCAAAAGGATGTCTGTATCTGGAAGAGTCTTTGCCAATCTATGTTGACTGTACAGATACACCAAAACCACATCTGTGTTGCAGATTTGCCCACAGAAAAGATAAGGCATTTAATAAATAAATGGGAGGGACCGAACAAGAGGCTGTTCAGAAAAAAAAAAAACAAACGTTTTATTGGGAAGCTGTGGAATATTCAGAACTTGGGGGATATTAATTAAAAAGGGGTCTGGAAGGCATTTTTGTGATGTCTATGCCATAAATCAGAGCATGCTGCTAGCATACTTCCCACAAATATTGTGTTTCAAAATAACATGATGGCTGTAAAAGGCCAAAAGACAATGACTCTTCATTTACCTGGGGGTTTTACTTATTCTCCCCATGTGCTCGGATCCCACTGGGGTCTTGTTTGGACTCTTTCGTGTTCAAGGTCCTGCCTTGCCGTGCTGTGAGCTCTGTAAACTCAGCTTTGGTCCAGTTTAGGGAGCCCATCCTTCATCCTCGCCTGTCCACTAGGAGGCAAAACGCCTCATGAGCGAGCCTGACTTCTTCATTGCAGTGAAGCCCAGCTACCAGAGCCGCCCTGATGCTGATAGTGACGGGGATAACCTAGAGAGCTACCCGGTGGCTTTTCTGGTGCTTATATTTACAGGGGCAGAAGAGTCCTGTACAGTCCTGTCAGTCTGAGGAGCAGATGAAAGCAATAGGGACCATGTGCTTAAAAGGAATCTATAGGTTTATACACGCTCTTGACAAAGAAAGCTTTGCTCTAAATACTAAACCATTTAGACTGGCTTCAGTTTATCACATGTAGTGTTGTCATTAGATGCCCAAGACAATCCTCGATCCCAGTTACCTCCTCACCATCATTCCCACGAGTTCAGTAGCACCAGGCTGAAACTTCTAAACAAATGAAGCTTAATAGTGTTGGATCTTTGACTCAGAACGCAAACTGTCGGGGAGTATTGCATTCTGGGGATGTTTGAACGATTAGAATGTCATGTGCACTTACTAGTCTAGTTTTTTGGTGTTCGGGCTCGTGCGCTGATGTATAAATAGGTGTTACATGCCTATTTTTGTTACAGCAAGTGACCGATAGGCTGTTTTTGTTACAGCGGGTGGCTCTAGCCCCCCAATCCAAGGAAAAGCCACAGTGTGTATCATGAAGGCCGGCTTTCCCAGCGCACGGTGCCATGCGCGTTGTCACCGCTCCCAGCAGGGCAGCGTTCCAAAAAAAACCCTCACTGTCACATACCAGAGCGCCCTGCCAGCAGCCACGTTCGGGGTGGCCTCAGCCAAGCTGGCACACATTCCTGAAACTCATCTCTGGGGCTGGGGGGCCGGAAAGGGAATGACAAGAGACAGACAGACACACAGACACAGACACACAGACACACACAGACACACACACACAGACACACAGAGACATACACAGACATAGACACAGACACACACACACACAGAGACACAGACACACATAGACACAGACACACAGAGACACAGAGACACACAGACACAGACACACACATAGACACACACACAGAGACACACACACAGATACAGACACTGACACACACCCACACCCCCCCCAGGCACACACACACAGAGACACAGAGACACACAGAGACACACACACACACACAGACACACACACACACACACATAGACACACACACACACACAGACACACACAGACACACACATAGACACACACACACACACACAGAGACACACACATAGACACACACACACACACACACACATACACACACACACACACACACACACAGACACACACATAGACACACACACACACACACAGACACACACATAGACACACACACACAGAGACACACAGACACACACACATAGACACACACAGAGACACACACACACGGATACAGACACTGACACACACAGAGACACACAGACACAGAGACACACAGACAC